TGAAATTACGAGTAACGACCCACGCTCTGTGGGTACGACAGGCTACACTAGGCAAAATTCAAATGGTCTGAAAATAATCACATCTGGACCAGACAATCCAGTGATTGAAATTACGAGTAACAACCCACGCTCTGTGGGTACGACAGGCTACACTAGGCAAAATTCGAATAGTCTGTAAATAATCACATCTGGACCAGACAATCCAGTGATTGATATTACGAGTAACGACCCACGCTCTGTGGGTACGACAGGCTACACTCAGCAATATTCCAATAGTCTGTAAATAATCACATCTGGACCAGACAATCCTGTGATTGATATTACGATTAACGACCCATGCTGTGTGGGTACGACAGGCTGTCAACCTGGCCACTAAGTTGATCTACCCTTGTTGATGGGATCAATTGTAACCCCGAATCCCCTCAGGGTGTCAGGATATAATACAGCATGTCCTGACTGCACGAACTTTCAACATCCTTGATGACTAGATTAACACAATCTATTCTCAGTGACATAAGACTCACAAATAATAAACAAATTTTTCTATAAAGAAAAGTAAATATTTAACACTTTCGATGGTGTGTGTTCTTGTAGACATATACCGAAAGTTATTTTTTTATAGCTAATTCAGGTTTGTATGGGTGTTGTCGCCACACTATTCCAATATTCCAGCTATAATTATGACAGCTTCTGTAAATAATGGAGTCTGGATCAGACAATCCAGTGGTCGACACCATGAGCATCGATGCACTTAAAGGAGATTCCAGGACATGCAACCAACCAAGTCACTGAGCCTGACTAGACGGGCTACCGGTAGTTATAACGCTGATAGAAATCCAAATGTAACTATTCATATAGCTTACACACACAATATCAAAAGACACACACATTTACACATTTGTAATTTGGACAGTTTCAAGATTTTTCCAAATGAATTGTGTCACACAGGTAATCAATGGCGCATGTCAGGGGTTTATAGAATTGATAATGATATTGACAATGTCAGCCACCGTGGACCATGCCGGATATTTTTATTACATGCCGCGTGCAGGCATGGCAAGGGGGCAGACTGTGTGAAACTGAAGTGTTGTTTGATATATGGCGGCAGTCTGTAAACAATCGAGTCTGCACAAGACAATCCAGTGATTGACATCATGAGCATCAATTTAAGCAACTGTGATACAATGACATGCATCAACCAAGTCAGCGAGCCTGACCACCCAGTCCCCTCAGTCCCCTCTTGTGACATGCATGGGCTGCTGAAGGCTTATTCTCTACCCAGATCTTCATGGGTCAAAACTGAGGTGACACGGGTGCATGACATTTACATGTCAAACAGACATGACATTCAGCTGCCCATACCCAGGCCCATCATGGCCGCTTAGAATGCAGATATTTTCTGGGGAATATTATACTAAGGCCAAACAAATGAAAACCTTGGTTCTCAGGCACCGCCGGCATCATCATAAATTCTGCCACACGCTTCGCTTTTATTTCCATTTTCAAAAAGGAAAATTTAAAGATCCTAATATTTAAAAACAATGCGATCCAATATAGCACGCAGTTACTTCCCTTTACATGCACACTGCTTTACTGTACATCTCGTGTTCTGGTCATGGGGGCAATAGGAGTTTGTCTGCTTCTTTATGTCGGGTGGAGTGTATCCGATGATCAGGGTAGTAACAGGACATCGTCATCTTTGAGCTCTTGCATGGATATAGCGCTGTGTAGATGGACTATAATTATTTAACCTGCTCGTTGCATTGAGCTCATGCATGGATATAGCCCTGTGTAGATGGACTATAATTATTTGACCTGCTCGTTGCAGTGAGCTCATTCATGGATATAGCCCTGTGTACATGGACTATAATTATTTGACCTGCTCGTTGCAGTGAGCTCATGCATGGATATAGCTGTGTGTAGATGGACTATAATTATTTAACCTGCTCGTTGCAGTGAGCTCATGCATGGATATAGCTGTGTGTAGATGGACTATAATTATTTAACCTGCTCGTTGCAGTATGTATAAATCCTTAATGGCTTTTCCCTTCTGTAAAATACATCATTTGCCTATTTAATAACCTATCATTAATGATGCACTGTACAAATCCGTCTCCATGTCTGCATGTACAGGACATGGCAGCCCAGCTGTAAGAGTAAACTGAAGAACAAACTTGTCCGTGCAGGCTGAGGTCTCTGATATCCTGTAACGGAATCCAAAGAAACCGAACGGTGATTTGAAGAAATCAGAGAATGAAATCATCCAATCTGTTATTCATGGAGCTGAAGAGATACCCATTTATTTTAGTGGGCTTACTTGATAAAATCGGCATAAGTTCAGACTAGAAGTGTGCATGCATGCACGCATGTTGCAATGTACGTGCATGCTCGTCGCAATGTAAGTGCAGTAATCTTGAACACAACGTTAGCCCCATTTCACCTCACTTCACTAAACCAGAGGCCCTAGATACAAATGTAGCATAACGATCTGAACCGTTTCCATGTTATGATCCTGTTGGCATAATTGTATTATTCTCCTTATAACAAACAAACATATACAATTTATCTGTTTAGTGTAGGGTGGGGATAATATCGGTTTGCAGCCCCGCCATTTGTATAACTGTGAACTCCCATCACCTGAGAATACTTCCAACCAAATATGGTTGATGTCTATCTCTTAGTTCCAGAGAAGAAGTCGCTTAAAGCAACATAGCCTAATTACCCCTATTTGGCCCCGCCCCTTAGCCCCATGTGGGATCAACCCAACCATTTCTACAATTTTGAATCCCCACCACCTAGGGATGCTTCGAGTCAAACCTCATTAATTTCCAATTAGTGGTTCAGAAGAAGAATTGAGTCATTTGAAAAAATTGTTGACGTAAGGACGACGGACGATGAACGGACGACAGACGCCACGGTATGGCACAAGCTCACCTTGGTACTTTCGGGCCCGGTGACCTAAAAACAGTCCATTGGACCACTTTACCCACGTCCAGAGAATGAGTTTAACCAGAAACAACACAAAGCACCCTTAAGACACCCTGTCATCTAAATCTACCCATGCTGTCATGTATCTGGTCACAGAACATAGTCTATTGGACCACTTTACCCATGTCCAGAGAATGTCTTAACCAAAAACACCACAAAGCACCCTTAAGACACCCTGTCATCTAAATCTACCCATGCTGTCATGTATCTGGTCACAGAACACAGTCTATTGGACCACTTTACCCATGTCCAGAGAATGCCTTAGGGAGAAACAGTACAAACCACCCATAGACACCCTGTAATCTAAATCTACCCATGCTGTCATGTATCTGGTCACAGAACATAGTCTATTGGACCACTTTACCCATGTCCAGAGAATGCCTTAGGGAGAAACAGCACAAACCACCCTTAAGACTCCCTGTAATCTAAATCTACTCATGTTATGATGTATCTGCTCTTGTGCCGGTTGGTAGCCTAGCTTGTCATGCTGAAGACCTGGGTTCGTTTCTGGTGTCCCCCGCCGTGATATTTCTGGAAAATTACTAAAAGCAGCGTAAAACCATACTCTCTCACTCAGTATGCTCTAAGAACAGAGTCTATTTGAACACTTCATTCATGTCCAGAGAATGACTTTAACCAGAAACTGCACAAATCCATCCTTAAGACACCTTGTAATCGACACCTACCCATGCTATGATGTGTCTGGTTACTATACACTTGACCATTTCCAGAGAAACAACACAAAACACCCTTAAGACACCCTGGGCCCACTTGCACAAAGCGATCTTAGCCCTAAGACTGTTGTAAGCCTAAGTTAAAGTATGGGAGTTTCGATCATCTTAGCACTAAGATCGCTTTGTGCAAGTGGGTCCTGGACACTGGACACACTTGATTTGACCATTTGACTCATCTCCAGAGAATGACTGAACCAGAAAAATCACAAACCACCCTGAAGACACCCTGTAATCTAAACACAATGCCTTTAACCTGAAGCTATGCAAACCAATATCTGGCTAGTATGCATAGTCTATTTGACCACTTGACCCATTTCCAGAGAAAGCCTTCAACCTGAAGCTACACAAACCATCCTTAAATCTGAATCTCACTTCCAGACCATCCACATTAAACATGAACCTAAGTTTGCCCCTGGCGGCCCAGTGCTTCATGATCAGCGACTCATGCTTGTCCTCAGATTGGTTGGTTGGTTTGTTGTTTAACGCCGCACTCACCAATATTCCAGCTATATGACCGCAGTCTGTAAATAATCGAATCTGAACCAGACAATCCAGTGATTAATATCATGAGCATTGATCCACGCAATTGGGACAGATGACATGTATCAACCAAGTTAGTGAGCCTGACCACCTGATCCCGTTAGTGGCCTTTTACGACAAGCATAGTCCCCTTTTACAGCAAGCATGGGTTGCTGAAGACCTATTCTACTCCGGAATCTTCACGGGTCTTGTCCTCAGAAGCGATAGATTCAGATGGTCAGTCTTGATGACTTGATTGCATGTCATCAGGTCTCACTTGTGATGACCGTTGCTCATAATGTCAGTCACTGGATTGTCTGGTGGGGTGGGGTGAGGTGAGGTGGGGTGGGGTGGGGTGGGGTGGGGTGGGGTGGGGTGAGGTGAGGTGAGGTGAGAGTGTGTGTGTGTGTGGGGGGGGGGGGGGGGGGGGGGGGGGTTGCACTAGTCCAGACCCATGGCAGAACATGCTGCAATTTAACATGAATACATAATCACTGGATTGTCTGGTGGGGTGAGGTGGGGTGGGGTGAAATGAGGTGGTGTGGTGTGAGGTGAGGTGAGGTGAGGTGAGGTGGGGTGGTATGAGATACCCCAAAATTATCAGACTGTGTATACAGCTCAACTGCAATTTGGACTGCTGGCACAAGACATGTGTAGATCTTGAGAGTTTCTAATAAAACAATCACGATGAAATTCAGTGGCAAGAGAATCAAGTCACAATTTTAGCAAGGGCCACAATGCCTGGAACAAAGGTCTCACCTTTCGATCTGAAGAGTCAGAAAGTGCCTCTCCACCCCAGATACCCAGGACTGTCACCAGGATGAGTGCTGAAGACTTCTCACAGGTCACCAAGTCCAGGTTGGATGTCACTGGTCTGTCCCCGCCACTCTGTGACTGCATCTCTCCCTCTGTGTGGCTGTTGGGTCAAACTGCGGCCAGCAAGCAAGACCTGAAACAAGAGTCAAGCAAAGCTGATTTGGAGGGTATATGACAATGAAAAGGTGGCCGAGGCATGGAACACTGCTCTGAGATCGCATCATTCAGCATCCACTGACTTTGACAAGGCTCACCTGCAGATAGCCAGGGAGAGATAATACATGCTTGAAAATGACATTGAAATGTGTTGTGTGTGACTTCATAGCACCTGATATGAAGTTGTACAATGCAATCAAAACAGGCAAACCCGGACCAAACCCAGCAGCATCTAACATAGGACTTGCCTTGGGTCTACAGTACAAGACACCCCTATTGGCAACACTAGAGCCAGATTACTGATGGCGAACACAGACATTCCACCCCCTTGCAGGAGCAGTATGCAGAGGACCTCTAACAAGGTGGCTAAGACTGTTACTGAACTGAATACACAGGATATGGATGTAGAGTAGAATTAGTGAAGGAAGTTAATCGGAAGAGGGTACTGAGCCTTGTGAGATGAATATTGTAATGGATGACCGATATAACTCAACCACAATAACAAGCAGGAAGAAGTCAGGGCAGAATGCATCACAAGCAATCAGCATCACCTGCGAAACAGTAACTGACAAGAAGTTCATCATCAGCTTGTCATTCCAGAGTAAGCTCTGCTGGACTGGTGCTTGGCTGAAAGGAAAAGGAATGGATGTGAAATGTCCAGGGGGGCACCCACACTGTACTGCAAACATGTCGGATTTCGCTGCATTCTCTGAGTTTATTATGGGAGAGGACATTGGAAATCAGCTTGCACTACAGGGTACACGGTCAGTCAGGTCATAATAACTGATGTCAACCAGCACCACAGTTTCTGAGCAGTAAACGTGCTCCGAAATTAAGCATAAAAATCAAGGGGTCCTTGTCATACCCAGATAACAAATTTAAGTGTATTGTTATTTTTTACTGGCATGAACAGCTTTGAGACCCCTTGTGTTTCTCCATATCACTAACACTGCAGCTTCATAATCACTGTAGTTTCTGGGTAGATTTGAAAAATTAAAATTAATTTAGGTAAAATATCAATGCATAAAAAAATAAGGTTTCTTGACATTTTTTGTCAAAAATAAATCCCATTGTATAATTACACATCATAGCAAAAGTTCTAGGTCTGTGGTTTCTGAGAAAATGTTTTTAAAAGATTTTCCAAGTAGTAGAAGTGTATTTTTTATGTCTTGATTATTCTACAAGCAGGAATTTAACAGCTCTCAATCACAATGTTCTTTTACATATCATATCACAGTTACTGCTTGCTGTGCACAGTTGATTATTATTATTATTTTTTTAAAAACAACATTTTTGAAGATCATAAGATATCACTCCAGCAAGCAGAGACCATAAAACAGACTATGGTCTCTGTGCCAATTTTAAGTTACCAAGGTTACTGTCAAAACCTGGTATTTCCAAACTAAAGTCAATGGCCACATCAATAAATTTAAATTATCAGAACAAATAACACACGGGTAATGGCTAACAATAGCATGCTTATCTTTTGAACAAACTTCAGGCTAACAATATTAGAGCGATCATCCCAGTTTCCGCTTCCCTGTGTGTTTTTTTCTGAGAAATAGTCAAAACAATTCAATTCACACTTGATATACTTACCGTGACTATGGATAAAAGAATGCGGTTCATTCACAATTAGCGGTCATAATATATAAACGAACATTGCTCCATTATTCCTGAGAGGAGAGAGGATTGACACCAATGAGCATGTCTTGCCTCGGCCGCACCCTGTGACCCAGTGCCTGTTGGTGCAGTCGAATGCAAGTCTTGCTAGATCCGTGTCTATAACTTATTCTATACTTTCAAAATATCTTTAAAAAGTATAAATAATGAAGATACTACCTTATGTATCCACGGGCTGATAAGGTATCCCATGACATTTCACATTTTGCTTATAAAACAGCAAACCATCACGATCACTTCTAAAAATCACTTCCTGGTCGCCATTTTCTGGTTCAAGAAAGTTCAAGGTCGTGTTGGATGGTACTTCTGCGCTGGCCGCTTGACACAGACGAAAGCTTGGCCCCGTCTCTAAGTTTCGGGGGCGCAACAATATCGTGGAACTAGTTTCAGAAAAAGCTCCATGACTTTGCATGCTACCCGCGGTATGGATACCGTATTGAATGTGTAGGAAACAATACATCGATGTGAGAAGCTTATTAAAACTGGTACCAAGCTTCGTTGCGCTACAGACAGAAGGAAACCAGTCCGGTTGAAACCTCCCAGAGCAAATCTTGATCTAAATCTTTCACAGAGGGCCTGAAGATGCTGACGTCAGAGCTAAAAACATGACGTCATTACCTTTGTCCGTGCATGTTCGAAAACTTGACAGTGACTCAGCTATCACTGGTATCAAGCCAAATCTCAGCTTGGCCTTAAAAATAGTGAACTTTAAAAAATATTTTCAATCAAAAGGCCTCTGTCTCACAGAGTCGCTTGGCCAGATTTGCACTTATATGCAATAATTTTCTTTAAAGGAACAATGGATACAAACTTTAGCTTTCATTGTGTAGTGGAAAAGGGATCTGCATTATGTTCAGAAATTATACCATATGACATAACGTGACTTGTGTTGGCGGATGTGGGCAGAAATTGAGCAGACAACAGGAGTACACTGAAAAAATATTGACCCTATTCAGAAAAATAAACCTTTAGTTCTCCACAACCGACTTTAAATACTTATGAGGACCTTGATATGAATTAAAGTACCAGAAGAGTTTTGGTTTGCTATGCATCTACTGAACTACTGAGCTAATTACTGTTTTTCTTAGCGTCGCATAGATTTTCTAAATAATAAATGTTCCTGGTATTAACGTTACAGCCAAAGTTTGAAGCATGGAGATTCAGTACAAAGTGAGACCCGTGAAGATCCGGGGTAGAATTGATCTTCAACAACCCATGCTTGCCGTAAGATGCGCCTATGGTTCATGCATGTCATCGTATCCCAATTGCGTGGATCAGTGCTCATGATGTCAATCACTGGAGTGTCTGGTCCAGACTCGATTATTTAGAGACTGCCATCATATAGCTGGAATATTGCTGAGTGCGGCGTTAAACAGCAAATAAACAAACAAACAGTACAAATTGAGAAATATGCATACAATTTCCACTAAATACTATATGAGTGTGTGTGTGTGTGTGTGTGTGTGTGTGTGTGTGTGTGTGTGTGTGTGTGTGCGTGTGTGTGTGTGTGTGTGTGCGTGTGTGTGTCTGACAGCTCTGTAGATATACCAAATAGCTGGTTCTTATTTATCTACCATGTTTACCTGCTAGATGCCGAGTTATTTTTGTAACGCACTTTTTCATAAAATCTGAGAAGTGAAGGTTGTGCGAGAATTGTGACACGTAAGTCAGCAGAAACGTTCCAAGAATCTGTGTACTTTGATTTGTTTGTATACTTTTCAAGAAATACCGATATGGTTGTGCGTGATTTTGCGTCAGTCATGGCGTCACGCAGGACGGAAACTTTGACAATTGTTGTTGAATTTACCAAATCATTGCAATGTATATATTTTTAATGACCTAATTCTTGCTACGATTCTCTTCCCATGCACATTCTGAAAATGGTGCGCTAATGTATGCAACGAATAGACGAATGGATAGCTCAAAATTGGACAAATTCTACACTGTGTAAAATCTTAATTTTGCTTTGTTTACATTTCTAAGAAGTGCAGTTTTACTAGGTGCACAGCGTTCGTTTCAAAACCTAATTTATTATGCTTGATTTCTTCTGGACACTTGATATTGGTGACAAGGACAAGGACAAGGACCAGGATCAGGACAAGGATCAGGACAAGGACCAGGACAAGGACCAAGGACCAGGGACCAGGACCAGGACAAGGACCAGGACAAGGACCAGGACAAGGACAAGGACAAGGACCAAGGACCAGGACAAGGACCAGGATCAGGACAAGGATCAGGACAAGGACCAGGATCAGGACAAGGATCAGGACCAGGACAAGGACAAGGACAAGGACCAGGACCAGGACAAGGACCAGGACAAGGACCAGGACAAGGACCAGGATCAGGACAAGGACCAGGACCAGGACAAGGATCAGGACCAGGACAAGGACCAGGATCAGGACAAGGACCAGGACAAGGACCAGGATCAGGACAAGGATCAGGACCAGGACAAGGACAAGGACCAAGGACCAGGACAAGGACCAGGACAAGGACCAGGACCAGGACAAGGACCAGGATCAGGACAAGGATCAGGAAAAGGACCAGGACAAGGACCAAGGACCAGGGACCAGGACCAGGACAAGGACCAGGACAAGGACCAGGACGATGACAAGGATCAGGACAAGGATCAGGACAAGGACAAGGACGATGACAAGGACCAGGACCAGGACCAGGACAAGGACCAGGACAAGGACAAGGACCAGGACAAGGACCAGGACAAGGACCAGGACCAGGACCAGGACAAGGACCAGGACAAGGACCAGGACCAGGACAAGGACCAGGACAAGGACCAGGACAAGGACCAAGGACCAAGGACCAGGACAAGGACAAGGACCAGGACAAGGACCAAGGACCAGGACAAGGACCAGGACCAAGGACCAGGACAAGGACCAAGGACCAGGACAAGGACAAGGACCAAGGACCAGGACCAGGACAAGGACCAGGACAAGGACAAGGACCAGGACCAGGACAAGGACAAGGACCAGGACAAGGACAAGGACCAGGACAAGGACCAGGACAAGGACAAGGACCAAGGACCAAAGCATTCAAGGATGTATGTATACTTAGCTGAGTGTGAAACATACGTGATGTAATAGGCGTCTCATAATTCCACACAGGTGAAACGGGATTTTGTAAACACTCTCCAATATATGTATGGCGCAAAGTTTACGTCGGCGTTCGTGTTTGGGTATTTTTAAAAATATTCTAAACGATTCTAGGGTTATCGGCGACGTTTTGGAATCATCATGGGTGATTTGATAAACGACAGATACCTGTGATCACTAATATGCTCTATTTGAAATTAATTTCTCCAAGTAATTATCCGAAATTTAAATTTCAAACCATGCTGTAAATAACTCCGTGAATTGTGACTTAGTAATGTTTAAAAATGGCGTGATCTATCACGTACCTAATTTACAGAGGTCATTTTCTGTAATTCTGCTTTGCCTAAAACGACAGTGGATGATATCACAAAACCGGGAAATTCCCACAGAATGAAAACCTGTGAAGTGTAATTGTGTGCGTGATGTGTTGTATTGAATTTTATTCAACTCCAAAGTGAGGTTTGAAGAGGAGGGACATATCGGTTTTAGATACTGCAGTAATCTAGACTTGCTAAATATCATAGACTTGCATGGGCTGTATTAAAACCCCACTTCACCTCACCTGTAAATAATCGAGACTGGACCCGACAATCCAGTGATTGGCATCATGAGCATCAATCCACGCAATTGGGATTCGATAACATGCATCAACCAAGTTATTGAGACTGACCACCCGGTCGCGTTAGTCACCTCTAAAGGACAAGTATAGTCGCCTTTTACATGTGCATATGGGTTGCTGAAGACCTATTCTACCCCGGACCTTTTCTTCACGGGTCCGATCACCTATAAGTCGACTCTTATGACAAGCATAGTCGCCTCTTCATGCAAGCACGGGTTGCTGAAGGCAAATTCTAAGTCGGATGTTCACAGGTCCTCAGACACAATATACTGACTCCGAGCCGACCAGTCCTTGTTTTATAATGGCGAGCATGCAGCACACAGGGTAACAATAAGTACTGGTCAACTTTTACCGTCTCTTAGTATCAGTATCAGGCCAGGGGATCTAACCACCGACATTCGTCCTCCAGACAGACGCTCTATTCACTAGACCATGGAGGCGGTCCTGAAAGTGGGAGTGACGTATGATATAATTATGGTGGGGCACAATGTATGATACTCTAAAATCACCTCATGCATGGTCTGTTGTGTTCAGATTGAATGGTTATATGACGGACCAGACAATCCAGTGATTGATATCATTGATCTTTGGGAAACGATGGTCGATATGCATCAGCCAAGTCAGTGAGCCTGAGAGATACCGTTAGTCGCCTCTTATGACAAGCATAAGGTTGAACAGTAGTCAACTTTTAGTGTAACTACAATTATTTAGAGTTGATTCATTTGTTCATTCCTTTGTTTGACTTTGACTGTGATTGAAATAGGTGCAAAGGTAACTGTCTCGTCAAGTTTAGCTTAATATTGTAGACAATTTATTACTTTGTCAGGCTTTCAAATATGTGCATCCTACAGCTACATCTTAAGTGCCAATTTGGTGTGGCCATATACATGTCATCATCATCATATAGCATGCTAAACCTGGGTCAACTTCATTAAACGTTTGAGGAGAAATCTGCATTATGTGTTCGTTTCTTAGTTTTATTAGTTTCATCAAAATCAGTAAATACACTAACGTGTTACTGGATTTCTGGTCCATCCATCACTGGATTGTTTGGTTTATTGACAGGCCGCCGTCGCACGACAGGCGTACTGCTGTACAGCGTCAGGCAATAAACACTTACTTTTATCAGGCAAACTGTGTGGATATGGCACGTGCTACTAGTATAGCGGGACATGATTACCCTTTTCGCGAACACGTGGTGTCGTCACTGATATTTAGTGGTCCATTCATATGATCTTTACAGCTATTTTGCTCTCAAAGTGAAGTTTGTTTCGGTTGATAATCAAGACTGGTTATTCTCTGGCACTGACATTTTATTGTCCGTCCGCCGGTCATCCTTTCTAAAACCCTTCAATATTTTTCAACAAAAACAAATGGTAGATATATCAAACAGATCCTGAAGTGGTGCCTTTTGCTTTTGCCGGATTTTTGGCATTTTTATTTTTCTCGATTTCCATGGAAACAATTTGTACCAAGTCTCAAGAGGGGGGGTGGTGGATTTCGTTTCCGGAGCACAGCTCAGACACCGTCCGATATCTTTCAACAAAGCGTGGTTGATATATCAAACAGATCCTCAAGTAGT